AGTGTATTGCCAATACTTCACAGGGTTTTCCTCTTTTCACATGGGTAAAAAATGTTAATACCAGAATTTTATCTGACTTTCTTAGTGTAATAAAAAACTAAGTTGTAATACATCTGATTACATGTAAAATATTTTTGATTGCTAATAGGAAGTTAAGTAGGAGGAAAAAAATCATGTGTCTTCTGCACTTTCAAAGATCTGTTAATGTGTAAAATTATCAGTTAGTGGTAACATATGAAGAGGATTTTAGACATTCATGTTTGACTAGAAGTGATTCATTTCGGTCCTAATTCTACATCCTGATAGCCAGTGTTTAAGAAATCAAATTCTGCTCTTTGGTGTATTGTGTCATATAAGGAAAGTCGTTTGCCGAGATATGAAATTAACCATGATGCAGTGAGGATTTCTGAATGTTATCCCAGGACACCATTTTAAATATATCTTTTCCTCTTCTTCTTTTTTTTTTTTTTTAAGTGTTGTGAATTAATAATGTGTTTGCAGACTCATGTCTTAGAGAATGCTTGTCTTTATTTTCACTATATAGGTGTTTACAAGCTGTGTGGTTTATTGGTTGATGCCACTTCATTCTCCCTTTATGAAAAGATTTTGGGCCACAAAATAGCTCTTTAATTTACTACCCCTATTCTGAATCCTCTTGCTTTTCCTTTGTATGTATTCACCTGTGACTGAGAAGCCATTGCAAGGAACTAGTTATTCTGCAGCTAGCCTTTGCAAAGAAAATTCTTGAAAGTAATAACCAAAATGAAATGTCACACATTTTCTTAGCTTTAAATTTCTAATAAAGCAATATGAGGCAAACACTCATACATTAAGGGGTAAATACTTTAAGTCTTTTGGCAGTAACTGAGAGAGGATTAAGTCTGATGGAGATTAATTATTTTTTTCTCTTCATTTTGGTGCTGTTTTCTCAGATAGCAAATATTTTGTATTACTGACTTACTCTTCACAGATGGCACAAATAAGCATGCAACAGTCATATCTAGCTTAAAGGTCTCCAGCTGCAACTTTATTAAGAAATACCATTCCACAAATAAACGTAATGTTTACTCAGTGGCTTTATATCCATGGAAGTAATATGCACACACACATCATCAGAGCTGCAATAGCTGATACCATAAGCGTCCCATCAGTTTTAGTCCCAAAAGAAGGATCAGATGCTCTTGATTAAGATGCCTTCATAATAAATCTCAGATTAGCTGTTGATGTTGTTAACATCTGTCTAGTCATGGCAACACCTCTTTAATTTTGAACTCTGAGGAGAGGCTTGCAGACTGTGCTTTTACAGGAATTAGCGTGCTTGGAAAAGCACCTGAACATGTAAGAACAAAGTTGCTTTTAGAAATCACATCGATAAGAGTTAGATGATTAAGAGTTTTGGCAAATCTACCTCTAACTTTAACATCCTGAAATATCTTTAAAAATCTTAGAGCTTGAACATCTTTAACAATACGTTCAAGAAGAGGCATAAGACAAACAGACTAAACTATGTCTGGGTACAGCGAACATATTTTCCATAATAGCTTTTTCCTTTTCTACGTGATATACATATCATACATACACATACTCATATCCATACTATGACTAAGAAACAGACCTTGGAGTTCAGAGCATGACAAGTATCCTACTCAAAGAAACTTTTTCTTAACACAGATACACTGATCAGCCAAAATATCAAGAGTTCTTTGAAGAAGAAAGGTACTGTGTCACTTTTTCTGGTTCCACACATCACAAAAGCAGCAGGAGTATGAGGTGTCTTAATCAGAGTTTAAGGCTTGATCAGATGAAGTGGGTGGGAGGATTACTTTTTGTTCAGGTGTGAAGTAGGTGGACAGCCCCTCTCAGCCTTCATTCACAAAGCTCCCTAGAAATCAAGGAAGTGAGGATGAAATTCATCAGAGGTTACTATAAACCATTTTAAAACACTGTAAAAGGTTAAGCTATTTTTGCTCCTTGGTAGAGACTATATTCATTAAAAAAAATTATTTCTTTGCTCAGATATGTTTGTCTTAACATATCTTTTGGACTTTCATGTGTGAACCAAGTCACTTTACCGTTTCAGGTAAAATCTTGTGATTTCTGTGCTTACTTTCATCATTGTAACATATCAACTTCAGTGACCTTGTTTTCAACTGATACTAATGTAATAAAGTAAGAAGTAATTAATTCACACTGGCCAAAAGTGACCACACAAGTCACTCAGTTACTGCCAAGAAACCTGTTTGTTTTCTTAAATGTTCAATAAAAGCTCAAAACACATCTGTGATCTCTGTGTAGATTCAGTACATAGTTCTTCTTTAGTTTTTTTGTGTTTTGTTTTTGTTTTTGGTTTTTTTTGTTTGTTTGTTTGTTTGTTTGCTTGCTTGTTTTTTAGCTCCTGTTACTCTTTCTGACACTAACTATTTCTGGAATTCTTGTAAACATTAGTCCTTCAAGTAAAACACAATCCATCTTCAGGTCTGGGAAAACTGATGTCAAGAGGGGAGGTTGGGCTATTATTAGAATCGAATTACTAAGTTATCTGAAAAGGTTATTGTCCAAACCCTCTGATTTTAAATGATAAAGGAACACAATAGAAAAGCTGGTATTTTGAAGAATGTGTTAGGAAGGGAGGAACTGTTTCACAAGGAAACATGTCACTTAATTACCAAACAGACATCCCCTTAATGAGGTGCCATCCCAGGACATGCCTGCTTTGCTTACATCCAAAAATATGTGCTCAGTGCCCTTTTGCATATCTAGTATCCTTAGAATGGCATCCTGACAGACATCCTATCTGCCATGTGAAAGAAGATTCTGCCTTTTTTTTTTTTTTTTTTAAGATTCTTCTCAGTGAGGGTGACAGAACACTGGAACAGGCTGCCCAGGGAGGTTGTGGAGTCTCCTTCTCTGGAGATATTCAAAACCCGCCTGGACACGTTCCTGTGTAACCTTATCTAGGTGTTCCTGCTCCGGCAGGGGGATTGGACTAGATGATCTTTTGAGGTCCCTTCCAATCTCTAGCATACTGTGATACTGTGATACTGCAATTAGACACTTGAAACAGTCCTATGCACTTTCCTTACAGATTCTTAACTTTAAAGACATGCATGTGTTATTGAATATAAGGAATTCAGTAGCTTTTCCTTTAACTTCAAAGATATTCCCCCTCTTCTAAACTCAGTTAAGGAATTCTTGTAGAATATGATGTACTCTTTTCTCCATATAATTATTGATCAGTAAACCCCACTTCAATAATTTCAACAAATCTGACAAGAGGCAAGATCATTCACTGCTCTTAAAGGTGAGCTATAGAAGGCTTTTAGAGTGTCTAGAATATTCCATTACCTTCAAAAGGAGGAAGTAATAATTTACATTAAGGTCACTGCTAATTACAAGTTTAACCTTGCAAAGTTTGAAAGTTGTGAATAGCTCACAGGACTGTAATTCAGCTTCTGAAGTAATAGAATTCAAAGCACAGACTGAAATAAGTTTATGAATTCTGATCATTTTGTTAGATCTGGAGGGGGGTTTGTTTGTTTACTTACCTGTGGTGTTTTGGGGTTTTTTCTGGGAGAGGGGGTTGTGTGTGTGTGATTTTTTTTCTTTTCTGGGGTGGCAGAGGGAATGTTTAGGCCAACATCTGCATGTATAGAGCAGTAATAAGCCATGTAGTCATTCATGTCATGAACTGACAGTACGTTATTTCTGATGTAAATCCTGATTGCAATTTTTAATTTTATCTGCTTTCTGCCCACTTGTCCATATTCACAATAATGTGCTTGAAAATCTTGATCCTAGATCAGTTTCAAGTGTTCATTATTTATGGAGTCAAATTGCTTAAGATATGTTTCTTCATCTATCCTCGCAAAATGTGAAAACAATTAACCTCCTGTTTGAGCATTTCTAGTTTCTGTAGGACTAAACCCAAATCTTTATGCAGTGATATGGTAGATTTCAATCTCTTAATATTATCTGTTGTTATTCTTATATCTTGCAGCCCTTAAAACGTCAGACTTATAACAAGCTTAAGTTTCTCTGAATAGAAGCATTTTAAATATTTTTGGGAATATAGGTTTCATGCTAGGGTTCCATGAAACTGACAGAAAAAGGGGTGAGGGAAGCTGAGGAATAGAGCTTTTGAACATTTCCTTCTTCAATGCATGAAGATCATAAGTTTTGCACATTAGAAATATTATTACATGTGGTCAAATCACTTGTGAATAAAGTGTCAATTCCCAAATCAATCTGATTAAGCTTTCATCATTTATTATGAAATATTTCAGAGTTATGAAATGGCATATTGATATTTTGCCTATGATTAGTTTTTTTGCAATATCAAGGACTCAGATGCAGAAATGCTGAGATTAATGTTGATAGTCTACTAGTTATTATTCTCTAATTATTATTACTTGAGTCCAACTTTTGCAAAAATAAGTACAAGCCCTAAGACAATTTATAATGTTTAATAGAATGTTCTATGCAGACTTGCAAACTGTGCATTCAAGTGCTTTGCATTATAAAGTTTATATTTGAGTTGGTCTTTGTATGTCATTAAAATCTGTGAACTGATGCGAAGCTGAAAAATATGTTTCAAGGATTACAAAGTATGTATTTGGAAATGGTGACCCATAGTACAAATACTGACTTTTTCAGCAGTTTAAACTTTCACTTGTGACATCATTTGCACATTCAATTATGAAAATTGTAGCTAAAAATGTTCTCTGATGTGATCTGAAATTCATAAGACTTCTAAGGCAGTTCAGAAGTGTCAGATGTGTTTTAAAAAAGGAAAGAAAGAATTGCAGAGATGCATTTCCACTTTTGTTACTAATTATTCTTTTAAGTTATGTATCAGGTACTGCAATATTTATGAATCCTAATTCCTTCTGACTGTTCCTATCAGCAAACATAAATCTGTGTAACATAGATGTGTGTTATTTAACAATGGCTCTTAATGCCAGTAATATCACAAGCTTTTCTGTTTTTTTTTTTTTTTTCAGATCTCTATCCTGAGACATAACAACAGGATGTGCCTTGGAGAAGAGTAAGTTAAAAAATTCTTTGCTCTTAATTTTTTTTTCATTATACTAATAACTACTGGATAATTTATCTTGAGTTTCAGTGAAATGCATCAATAATCCATGAATTAAAAAAATATCAAGCGACTTCCACTGAGTCCTATTTATCAAGTTCTACACAGTTACTCAGACTTGGCCTTGATTTTAACAGGAGCTTTGCCTAAGTAACATCCTTTTGAATACATTGAATTTAAAGATTAACAGTTTTAGTAAATTAGTATAAAATATTTAAGCTGTTTTGTCCCCTAAATTTCTACGAATAGAGAAACATCTTAATCCTAGCTGATACTGTTTCTTCAAGTAACTTTCCTCTAGAAAAGAAACCCAAATGAAGATGAGCTACTTCTACAAAATAAACAAAGAAAAAAAGAAAGTGATTAAAAACACTTATCAGTGTCTTTTCATTTCTGTACATCTCATATGTAAAGAACATACGGAAAATGTTTTTGGTGTGTTTAGCTTCCTGTTTATCACTGGGCTTTCTCTTTTCTCTACGCCTGAAATATCTGTCTTCTCTGTAGCACTTGGAAATTTGTTTTTTAATTATAAAAAATATGTATATAAGAATAATTTACAATTCCTGTCTCTCACATAGCATATTTAATGAACTTTAAGACTGAAGCCTTTTTCATGTTCATATTTTGTATTGTTTTGCATTATCCCAGTAGCATGAGTTTTAAATTGTACTGATATACTGACATAACTTGAGCAGAAATTAACAGTATCTGATAACTACTTGGTGTTGAGGGAATGGTTAACAGCAAAGTCTTTGCTATGTCAGGTCTCTGCTGAGTCAGAAAGTTGTCCTGCTTTTTTAACATCAAAATTAGTGCAATGTAATATTGCTTTCCACGTGGTATGGTGTTACATTACAGTGCTGATTGCTAATCCTTATTTCTATTTGATAAAGATACAGCAAAGTGTGCTTGAGTGGAAAAAGTAAAGTTACTCTAATCCTGCATTTATAACAGAGATCATGAGCACACTTGGAATGTTTAATTTTACCTTTGATTTAATGAGTTTAGAACTTGGATTTTAGACCAAAGCCTAACCCCTGTCCCTAAAGAAACAGAAGTTCTTTAGCCAGGAAAATGGGTCTTGTTTCTGCACAGAAAAAGAAAGGTCCAATGGGTCAAAGGTAGGAGCAATACTGGAAGCAGATCATCTGTGCCTGGCTCCTAGGAGAATCTTTCAATTTTCTTTTCCCCAAACATAAAAGCAATCTCCTACAGCCACTGAAGTCACTTGAGGTATACCTTCAATTCATTTCAATTGTCACAGTTCCTTCCCATTCAGCAGAGTAGTATTAATTTTCATCACCTCACTGCTTGAACATAAATCTTTATTACTTCAATTAATGAGTTTCATTTTTCCCTTCCTTTCCTATGTTTTGTGAGAATACACTATACTTCCACTTATATTTGCAGGGCACTCTAAGAGTCATGAGACATAAACCCTTCAGTTTTGGAGCTACACTTCTTTTCTTACAGCCTACTGAGAAATTGGCATCATACTCAGATCAGGAATGTCTTTTACTTTTAAAGCTATTCTTTACTATTCACAGTTGTATCCTAATAATGCCTCAATATATTTTCAGTAGACTGCGAAAGATAAAGTTTTAATGGGAGGAAGAAAGCCAAGAAGGGAACATGTAGTTTTCTTTCCTTATAACTTTTACGTTGCAACCATGAGATCATTCATAAGCAAAGTCTGAACCATGTAATTAAATGATAGTGGCATAACTGATCTTTTCCTAAATGGAGTTATTTTCGTACAGAAGGCTGTACAGATGCTGTTTACTTCATGCAGTTGCACATAACACAGACATTTATGACCAACTAGGAGGAAAAAAAGGATGGTGAACAGAAAAAGTGAGTGTTATGTCCTAAAATTGGTATTTTGATCCAAAATACAGTACAATACTTATACACTAGTAACTTCTACCCATTCATAAATGTGCTACAGTTGTGTTTGTAGAATCATAGACTAGAATCATAGATTCATTTAGGCTGGAAAAGACCCTTGCAGTCATTAAGTCTGATTAACCTAACATTTAAGTCATTAACCTAACATTGCCAAGTTCATCAATAAACCATGTCCCTAAGCATCATGTCTACTACTATTGGCAGATAAAAAAGAGGTTCACTAATTTGCAGGTTACTATTTCATGCCAGAAGAGGTGTCACTATAATAAACATGTTTTCACACGAAGTTCAGATTACAGAATTAAGCTAACAATATGACAACAGAAGTCGTATGTTAATCTTTGCAAAACTGTAGTTTATCAAGTTAATCCTGGACTGTACTCAGATGCAAGCAGCCTTAACAAAAACAAATGTTTTTAATTAAAGTCTTTAAACTTTATAAGGGTGCTTAAAAAAAAAAAGAACAACTTTAGAATAGGGGAGAACAAAAGCCAAACTTCCCTTCAAAAGCCAAACCATGTATTTTTAGGGAGAAATAAAAATGGAGAGCTGAAATTTAATTCTTAACTGATCTTGCTCTGTCCTGTCACATGATGAATGTTTAACACCAACTTTGGATGTTTTCTTTATATAATCATGGAATCATACAAAGTTTTAGGTTGGAAGGGACCTTAAAGGTCATCTATTCCCCCCCGCCCCCCCCATCATAAACACAATGTATATCTTCGAAAAATTTCTAAACAATAATGTCTGGAACTAGGCATATTTTTTAATTTTAAAATTATTTTGTTTATTGTTATAAATGGCCTCAGGTTTTGAAGTCTCTGGACATTGAACACTCAAATTGTTGGTCTGTTCAAAAGCTTATGCCTCTTATGATGATCGGCTGAGAAAGTTGGGACTGTTCAGCCTGGAGAAGAGAAGGCTGCGTGGAGACCTCATAGCAGCCTTCCAGTATCTGAAGGGGGCCTATAGGGATGCTGGGGAGGGACTCTTCATTAGGGACTATAGTGATAGGACAAGGGGTAATGGGTTAAAACTTAAACAGGGGAAGTTTAGATTGGATATAAGGAGGAAATTCTTTCCTGTTAGGGTGGTGAGGCACTGGAATAGGTTGCCCATGGAGGTTGTGAATGCTCCACCCCTGGCAGTGTTCAAGGCCAGGTTGGACGAGGCCTTGGGTGTTATGGTTTAGAGCGAGGTGTCCCTGCCCATGGCAGGGGGGTTGGAACTTGATGAACTTAAGGTCCTTTCCAACCCTAACTATTCTATGATTCTATGATAATGATAAAAGATATCCCTTTTTATAATAAACCAATCTAGATCTCTAAAAATATTAGGACTAAAATATTCCTAGAAATGTACTGTGTGAAAAAGAAAAAGAACAGAAAATTCACCCTTTCAGCTTTATTTTCTTTTCATATAATCATGCCATTCTCTGAAGTCAATTAAACATCAGAACATAAAAGATATTCTTTCTTATAATAAACCAATCTAGATCTCTAAAAATATTGGGACTAAAAGATTCCTAGAACTGTATTGTATGCAGAAGAACAGAAAGTTCTCCCTTTCAGCTTTATTATTCTTATGATATAATTATATAATCTTCAAAGTCAGAAATGTTGGATTAGAAAGCATCTTCATCTGGTTTTCTTCTGAACATTTAGCAAGGAAGTGTAGCTGTAAGGGAGAATAATTATGTTCCTTATTTTTAAATAAAGGTTAAAGTTGTTATTACAACTACTATTATGCAGAAATGTAGTTAAATCAAATTTAAACAACTATATGTATAAAATTGTATGGTGTAAGTAATATTTGCAGATGAACTGCCTGTTGCAAAGAAAAAGAATAATGTAGCTGAATTTCAGATAGATATTTAGAAAAAATTTTTAGTTCAAAATAAGCATAAAGGAAATTAATGAAATAAAGAAATGAAGAAAATAAACTTGAAATATTAGCCCCCCCAAATGGTTCTTATAAAAATGAACTTAGAAATACTTAATTGCTCACTGTACTGAAGCAATCAAATGAAAACATGATCTTTCAAAATGAACTATTGTAACCAAACCTGTATTGCTCACCAAAAAAGTGTTGATCAGATTCTGCTATAATTGTTATTAACTAAAGCTTATGAAAGCAGTAATTATGTCATCATTCTTCAGCATCTGTACTTTAACAAGCTAAAAAATTGCTTTCTTTAAGCTTTGAAGTGCTTTAACGTATATATACATAAAACCCTATTTTTTTCATTGTCAGTGTGAGTCGAGATCATCATGTTCATATAATTTCCAGCAACATTCTTTCAAATCTGTACTTCAGCTGTTCAGTTCTAATTAGAGGTCCAGTGTATGTACTTTTTCAGCAATGAAATGGAAAATTTCAGGGACCTTTGGGGCTGTTTGGTGTCTGAAATATCTTTCAGTTGTGTTCTCACTGCATACACCAGAACATTTTCCAGTATTCTATTAATAAATTTCTGGACTATTTTATTGCTTTAATATTATGTGTTCCTTAATTAAACAGAGTTTGATAACATTCTATTCCTTTTCATTTATTGCAGCCAAATTAGTAAAAAGATGTAAAATTATTTCTAAATAAAAATTAATGAGATCAGAGAACAGTTTAGACTTAAATGTGCTAAAAACTGTGAGCTATTTAGTAAAATGCATCTACATTCTACCTAAATATCACAGAAAGAAAAAAATTATATAGGTATAAACTGAAGACAACTTTAAGTCTCATAAAACAATTGCGCAACATATGGATCAAATTATAGTAGGTAAAAAATCCTCAGCCCCAAAAAGGTCTACATCTACCTTTTTGCCTATGAATCACTTCTTTTTTTTTTCTTGATTATTCAGAAGTGACTAGAAGCCCCAAAAGCCCATTATTTCTATTACACCAGGGAAGTCCTGAAAAATCAGCAATGTTTCCTTTTACTTACTCCAATACAAAAAAAACTTCTGCTTAATATAAAAGCAAAACTAAGGATTTTTTAGTCTTTCAGAGACAAACTCCAAATGTGATTGCCCTATATGACC